GTTGGGAGAGGCTGGGGGTAAGGAAGTAGAACAAGAAGAATGAATGAGCAAACCTCACTCTACTAGAGAAGCGTCTAGCCTGGGAGGTTTCTTCCTCCCTCTACTCCCTTTCTCTGAATTCACAGTCAGCCCATGTGCCAGGGTACCTGGTTTATTCACTGTGTTAGTAATGTGATCTGCGCAGGAATCCACTTTCTTTCTTTTCCTGCCCTTAGGAATTCTTTACTGAATCTTTTCTTCCTTCTCTCTGTCCACATCTCAGGTAGATCCCAAAGCCCTCTGCTCACTTTCATGTATTAGAATAGTCTTGAATGGTTTAATTCAAATCAAATATCAGGCTCTTATCCAGTTAAAATAGATGTTCCTCTTCTCTATTCAGTCTTTACCCATGGCTTGGAGGCCCACAGCAAGGAAAGGATAGGGCAAGGTCTTTCATTCTTCCTGTTCCACATCCTCATCCCCCACATCCTCCTAGCTCTAACCATGGTCAGAGGCCGGGGAATGCAAATGAGAGGAAAAGAAGTATAAAAAGCCAGTGGAGATTTTCATTTTTGAAAGGCTCTGCAGAGGTCTCCACATCGCCATCTTCACCTCCCCACACCCTCTGTAGGGATGGCCCTGCTATAAATCTTTACATAGGGATTGATAATGGTGAGTGACACACTCCTTTTCTGGGTGGCTGGGACATTTGTGCTTGCTGCAGTTCCACTTGGTTAGCCCTCACCTCTCATTCCTTGTGTGAAAGATGCTGTTTCCACAGTTGACCTTCCCTGATTCCTCCTCAACCTCTGCCTTCTCTCAGGAATCCCCTCCAGCATACACATCAGATCCTACTGTTGGGACCTCTCCTCCTGGCATGCAGCCCTCTGCTTCCTGGCCTGTACATTTCTGGATGGTCCTTTGGCCCACAGGAACAAAGACACCCGTGTTCTGCCAAATTGTACCAGGGAACCTGTTCTCCCTCTGGCCCTTCTCTCCTCACCCTATCATTGTGGCAGCCCCATCATCCACTTGCCTTCAAACACCCTGGCGAAGAATCCGGGCCAAGCTTGACATGAGTCAGACTTTCCCAGGACTCTCATGGGCTCTGCTCTGACACCAGCCTGGAGCAGACTTACGAGCATTTGCAGCTCAGACAACTGGCAGCAAAAGTAAGGATCTCACTTCCTTTCTATAGATGACAACCTCAATCCTTCTGAGTGGTTTTCTGGGTGACTCTGTAAGTGTGAAAGTATTGCCATCCCTTTACTAGCAGGCAAGGGGGCCATCCTAGCACTCTACCAGGCTGACACTTCTGCTTCTCTCACCTTGTGATTATGGGACAAGGTTGGCCTTTCTCTCTTAATGAAGAAAAGCCCTTAATGAAGTGGCCAGCACTGTATGACCACTTATCATTCATTGTTCTCAGACCTCAGAGGCAGAAGAAGGCTGTATGCCTGGGGAAGAAGATTCCAGCAGGAGGAACACATGTGTGTGTAGGAGGGGATTACTGTGACAGGGCAGGGGCCAGGAGGAATCATGGAAGGTGACTGGGAAGTGCACTGCGCATAGGAGGAATGGAGAGGTAAGACCCAACAGAGGTGGGCTCAGTCAATCACCTCAAGGTAGAGACACTGCTATGTGTTCACCTAACCCTATTTTCTTTGCTCCTAGATTCATATCTAAACTCATTTCACAGCTACCCCATGGGTAGGTGGGGCAATGTGACCAAGTTTTGGCAAATGGAATGTGTATTAGAAGTCAAACATGCTCTTTTCTCTCCTGGCAATAAAACCCTTCTGTGTTCAACTCTAGCCTCACTTTCTGTTCTATGGCTGAAAACAGCAGCAGCAGATAATGCAAGAATCCTTGGCTTCTGAGTGTTGTGGGCAAAGCAGAGCCCCCCTACCCTCCAGACCCACCTGGGGCTACTGGACAGTGGCAGGAAGTAAAACCACGAGGAAAGAATGTTAGCCACTGAAATGCTTTCCTTGGCAGTGGAAAGAATGTAAGCCACTGAAATGTTTCTCTTGGTGGTGTAGTGGTGTTAGTAGTTCTCTCTTTTTTGCATTTAGCCTTTGCTGACTGGTCAATTCTTTTGTCCAGCAATTTATAAAATAGCTTATAAAGGAACAGCAAGTTCCTTAGTAATTTTCACTTAGTACACCAGACAGAACCTAGTGCAATTGTCATGAAGAGCAATTTGACAATTTTCCTAACATTTCTATTATTTGAATCAGTAATTCAACTTCTGGTCGGGAAATAGTAATAAATGTTGTGAAAGATAAATAAACTATCTTGTTTAGCCTTAAAAAAAAAGTCTAAAAATTTATAACAGAAAACTCGTTACAGCATTGTTGTGTTTGCATTTAAAAGGAGACAATCTAAATATCTAAAGAAAGGGGGCCAGTGAAATAAAGTCTGATAAATCCAAATGGCAGAGTTTTAAACTCCCATATAGAGGCAGGAGAATCTCTTGAACCCGGGAGGTGGAGGTTGCAATGAGCTGAGACTGTGCCACTGCACTCCAACCTGGGCAACAGAGTAAGACTATCTCAAAAATAAATAAATAAATAAACTCCCATATAATTCATACTAAAAATGTTTTATCACATGGAGGAATGATGTGGCTATAATGTTATATAAAAGTAACTGATGAAATAATAGTATCACAGATATTATACAAATGTAAGGACATTCTACATATACACAGAAGCAAAAATAACATTGTAATGAAATGTGCCATGTTATCAGAAGGTATCTCCCCAACGGTTAGGATTTTAGGTAATTTGTGTGTTCTCTTTTATGCTTTTCTGTGTTTTTTATGTTTCCACTATAAACATACATTGCTTTATAACTCAAAACAATTTTTGATGTAAAAAGCTATAATCAAGATTTCATTTATTCCAGATTTTTTTAAATTTAGGATGGGGTATTTATAGATTTTTTCCTTGCTGTCAGGAAAGTTAGAGAACAATCTTCTCACCTTCTCTGTGCCAATCTACACAAGGGCCAAAGCTGAACACCAGGTGCTGCTGATCTGGGGGTGCCGAGTGCCTGCTCAGGGGATGGTTGTGATGGCAGTGAGGCAGAGTTCAGCCATGGCTGCTCAATAGGGTCCTCTGAGATTCTGATTTATTGAGCTGGGTGAGGCTCTAGCATCTACACACTTTTACAAGTGCACTATTTCTTCTAATGAGAACCACTGGTGCAATAGCATGGGCCTGGGACAGAGAGTCAGAGGATCTAGGTCCAATCCTGTCTTTCTTGGTAATCATCTGTGTTATCCTTGGCCAATCACTCAGCCTTCCATATTCCAGTTTCCTCCTTTGTAAGCAGAAACATGTATATCTGTCCGACTTGCCTCCCTGGGGACTCGATATAGCTCAGAAAGGACTATATGTGTGTGGCCACTTACCCCAGCTCACACTGCTTTGTATTTGCACATTCGCAAGCTCTGGAGTCGTTGGGTTGCTGGCTCCTGGATCATGATAGGAGTGCCTCACAGGGCACTGCACAGGCTACTGAACTGCATCCCAAACCTCTGCTTTCCTGCATGAAGGTCCCAGAGAAAAACCTGTCCTTGGCACTGACTGCTGCATAGACTTGTCATATAAATAGGGAGAGCCAGGCACCTCTGTTTCAGTTTCTGCATCCAGAAAATATATTAACATTTATTATAAAGATCTACTGAAACAGAGAATGTAGGGTTCTTGTAGCAGTGTAATGAGGAATAAAACTGAAAATAAGAATTATAGTAACAACGTCATGTAAATTAATGGAACACGGATGTATGCATCTGATGCTACTAAGTAATATCAAACTTTATCTCATATTTCTTTTCTCCATTTAGCCTATGGGGAAACTGAGGCTCAGAGAAATTAGTAACTCTTCAAAGGTCACCTTAAGTAGTGGTCAAGAGGCCGAACTGACAGCTTTTTCTATATTGTCTTTTTACTGTTACATCTGCTGTGGTTGTTATTTATTTTGGCTGTTTTAGCAAAAATTGTCTTTGAAATGGGAAACTGTAGAATTATAATTAAATGCAGAGTTGTACCATTTGCGTAAGATCTCAGGATGTTTGTGCATGTGTGTGGGGATGGGTGGGTGTAGTGACAAGAGCATAGGTTTGAATTTAGTTGCATCTAGGCTGACATTCCAGTTCTGATACTGACTGTGTAACTACTTGTGACAAGTTATCTAACATCTAAGGAATGTTTTATCCTTAAAATGGCAACAACAATAAAGCTTGTATAAAATAACGAATAGAGAAGTGTGTGTGAGATATGAACTAACACAGATCATCACGCTTCCTTTGTGCCAGGCACCGTTCTGAGTACTTCATGATTATGAAGTCCTTTAATCCTCATAAGGTCCCTATGAGGTAGATACTATAATGCCCATTTTACAGACAGGTAAAGTGAGACACAGAAAGGCTGAACAACTTGCCAAGGTTCCCTAGCTAATAAGTGTTAAGGGACTTTTAACCACCAAGCCGTGAACTTCTTGCACAGGCTCAGCATGCTGAAAAGCCTAACAAATTGTAGCTATCGTTACTATATATGGCGGAGGTTTTCAAACTACTCCTCTTAATTAGCTGTAGTTTATTCAAAAGATAGCCTTTGGAAATCTTACTGTATATAATAGAGTCAAGGCTGAGCTTCTTTGCTTGAAGTAGGAATAAAGATTCCTCTCTCACTTTCATCTCACTTATAGCATCCCTAAAGCACTTCTGGGAATGCTGGGGTTCTGAGGAATCATGTTTGAAAACCACCAATTCCAGCTTTTATATTCTTTGTGTCTGTTCCCCTACTTTCTCCCCTTTTCTGCTCCTGCTCTACCTCAAGCCAAGCCTGGAAAATCAGCAGCCAGACAACCAGAGACCACAATATATATTGGAAGGGTTCCTCTCAGGCTTCTGCTTTTATTCCATACCCACCTTGGCTGTTTCCATGCCCAACCAGCGGGACAAAATGGGCAGCCACTGGGGTGGGGGTGGAAGGGCTGGGCTAGAGACTCACCAGTTTTGTCTGAGTTGCAGAGGATGGTTTCCTTCTCGGCTCTCACACCTGGGCTGGGGCCGTGTTTCATCCACATGGTGATGGTGAACTGGTCCGTCAGGTTCTTGGGCACAATCCCGTCAGGGATTTTGGCGCCCTGCCTGCCGTCAAACTTGAAGATCATCTCACTGCTGTCCACCCGGAGTCCCGCAGTCCAGTTTGTGGCTGCACTAGGAGATGGCAAGAGGTCGATGATGCCAGAGGAGGCTCCTGCAGGGGATGGGGAAAGAAAGGGCAACGGGTCACTCCTAATGGGGTGGTGTTCTCATGTTTTCTTCTCCTGAGTCAAGATGAACTATTCAGTATACTTACTCAGAGAGTTCTGTGCCTAGCTCTGAGCTATGTGACTTAGGAAAAGAAATGCCAAATGCGATCCCAGCCCCTGAGTTATTTATGGGTTTTTTGGGGGAGGCATCAGTAAGTTACAAACAAATGTGCTACATGTGGCAAGACAGGATGCAAGAAAGAAGTGTTGGAGGAACTTAGAAAGTTGCAAGAGCCCTCAGGGCTCTTACTAGCAGAGAAGGTTGCTGGAGAAGGCCAGGATTTGATTTGGGTAGATGGATTTGCTCACACACCTATCCATCTGTTAACCTGCCAGCCATCTATTCAGCACTAACCATGTGCCAAGTCCCCTGTGAGGTGCTGGCTCTATGAAGGTGAATCAGACACGGTCCCTGACATAGAGGAGCTCAGAGCCAGTAAGTTGACAAGATGTGATCAGGTCTGTGATTGGGGGAAGTTCTAGATCCTGATCACATGAGAAGGAGCATGAGGGACTCACTACACTTTTTTACAACTATTTGTTGAGGCCAAATGATGCAGTGGTTGTGAACACAGGTTTTGAAGTCAGCAAAACTTGAATTTGATACCTGGCAACAAAATTTGCTAGCTCTGTGACTGTGAGCAAGCCAGCTGACCTTTCTGACTCTGTTTCCTCTTTCCAATAAGTTATGAGGCTGAATGAGATCATGCATGAGAGCTTGCAGTAGCATGTTCACTGCATGGCAAAGGTTCATTCAGTGTTAGTTATCATGTTATCATTGTCATTATATTATTTCTGCTGTTACTATAATAGTACTCAGTCTAAGGCATGAAGACTTAATCCGAGGCAGCAGGAGTGCCATGGGCAGGTTTGTTTTAGAAGAATCACTGATTTTGTGGAGGGTGGAGCTGAGGTTAGAGGAGACGACTGGATGACTGGCCTGCCAGAGAAGACTGGATTGTCCTATTGGGTGAGTCTGGGGCCTCTAGTGCAGAATTCTTTGCATCCTTCTATTCCATACACAAACAGGGCTCAGGCACTAGGGGAAGGAGGGCTGGGAACTTGCAGTCATTTTCAAATAAGAGCTAGGGTGTCTAAAGTGTGACCTGTGTTGGGTGGGCAGGGGCAGGGGGCCTCTTTCCTGGTATGGAACTGACCAGTCAGTCATCAACTCTGATGGGTTTAATGGACAGTAGTTGTGTGTATTACCTGCCAACTGCCCAGGCTTTGGATTTTTGATGTCGTATATCAGAGCCTCATCTTACATAGGGTTTGGGTTCTAAAGTCAGCCACTACAAAAAAAATCTCCCACCATTAAAATGACCCTTTGAAGATCCCTCAAGAAGGTGGCATGATGGATATCAGTTTAATTGTTTGAAAATGTTCAACCCAGCCAGTTTTCCCTCCATCTGTGGAGGAGATCATCAGGTCTACATCCAATGGCTAGTAACAGAAGGTTATGCTATGTGAAGAGCATGTATCCTTGGAGCCCAGCACATGCTCTGCTTATCATCAGGAAATGTTCACTCTGGGAGAGGCTTCTGGAACTGTGGTGTCTGTGAAAGTGGAGATTAAAATCTCCCAATTCACGCTCATGCTGTAGCTTGTACATATCAAAGAGAAGTGTGGGCAGAGTTGACAGCATTATTTACATAAGTAGTTCCTAAAGATTTTGCCTGTGACTGCATCTGACACATAGAATTTGCCATCATGTGGAGCAGCCAGGCCTCCACACAGGGGAAGCAGGGTGGGGTCTAGCAGGGCTTGAAACATAGAAGGCACTCAGTTAATATTACAGTTGCCCTTCTTCCCTCTCAGTGCTCTCACGAGATGCTCCTGGCAATTCATCCAATGCTCAAGTGAGCCCAACCAGCCCCTTGTCCACACCCACACCTCTCATCACACTTACCTGTTCTCCTTGCCTGCTGCTAACTTCTTAATTGATATCCATGTCACTTATGTGATAAACTAATTTACACTAATGTTTTAATGACCAGTAAAGTCTTTGCTATCCTTTACTACCACCCTCCACAGATATTTCTAAGGAAGACATCTATCAAGATGGTAGCAGGTAGAGATTTGTGAGTAGGAGATACATGGTTTTTTGGGAAAGAGCATTTTCCTAGTACCCCTGGAATAACACAACATGGCAATAGCTTCTTTGACCTATCAAGTTGGGTCTGATACTAAAATTTGTCCAGTGTGAAGACAGCTGGTGAAGGGGATACACATAGAGCATGTCGGTTCCTGAAACCCAGGGAAGCCAGAAAAGTGCAGGCTGAGCACTCCAGGTTCCTGACTTCTAGATCAAGCCAATGGCACCAATATCTAGCAGGGTCTGGTGCAGAGGTGAGTGTGTGGTGGCTGCAGAGGCCAGCTTTGCCATCATGTGGAGCAGCCAGGCCTCCACACAGGGGAAGCAGGGTGGGGTCTAGCAGGGCTTGAAACTCTACCACCAGAGGGTCCTTTTTTTGGCTAAGGACATTGCTGTTCCTATAATATTCACACTGCAATTAATACCTTAGACTAGTGAAGAAATTGATTGTGAATTTCCCTCCAAACAGGTTTGGATATATAGAGAGGTATACAGCAGAGAGCAGCATGCATGGGATGATGGGGGATGCTATCAAGGGAAGGTTGGGAGACCAAATTGGTTACAAAATAAACCTAGTGCTAATCGGAGTTATTCTATAGCTATATCCAATATTTACATAACCTTATTTTATTTTATTATGTTTTTGAGACAGAGTCTTGCTCTGTCACCCAGACTGGAGTGCAGTGGCATGATCTTGGCTCACTGCAACCTCCGCCTCCCGGGTTCAAGTAATTCTCATGCCTCAGCCTCCCGAGTAGCTGGGATTACAGGTTTGGGGCACCATGTCTGGGTTGTATTTTTAGTCGAGATAGGGTTTCACCAGGTTGGCCAGGTAGGTCTCGAACTCCTGACCTCAGATGATCCACCTGCCTTGGCCTCCCAAAGTGCTGGGATTACAGGCATGAGTCACCATGCCCAGCCTCCATTACCTTATTTTTTATAGTTACATAACTTTACTGTTTTCCTATGAACTTTTTACTGGGCATGGAATGGGTGCTAGGCCTGAATTAAGAGCCTTATATATGTTTTCTTAGTTACTCATCTGTGAGGTGAACATCGTTAAGATTTTAGGTTACAGATAAAGAGCCATAGGCAGAGTGAGCCCAGGATGGCAACCAGCTAGTGAGCAGACCCATCACCAGGACTTCCCAGCTCCAAAGCCCATGCTCCCCACTGTACCTCCTCAGTGGACCAGGAGGGATATCTAATAACCTCTGCTTATTTTGCATACATGTGAACTGAGGCCCAGAGAGGAGAAACACGTGGACTAAAATCACATAGTCATAGCTAGCTAGAAGCAGGCCCAGCTCTCAGCCACTCAATTAGTGTTCTTTCTACCACACAGTAGTGTTTGGAGGCCAATCATATGAACTGCCAAGCACAGCCTAGTCACACGGGACTCCACCTCCTTGCACAGGCCACTGCTCTGGCAGAGGGGCACACTGAGGACATATGCCCTGGCAAAGCCATAATGTGGGGCTCCTTTATCTTCCCTGCCGAGGGGGAGTGGCAGGCCACACTCCCTAACCCACAGATGTTGCCTGCCAGAAACCATCAAGCTGCATTTAACCGGATGGTGCAGACTTCCACAAACTTAACAGATTGTATTTCATTTTTTGGTAAACTTAAACTGAGAAGATTTACTTTCTCCAAGGTTTTTCTGTCTCTCTTCTTCCCAGGGATCCCTTGGGAAGGCAGTGGGTAAACAGAATGCATTACTTGCAGAGATGATACAGCACTGTCTACACATCAGGGTGTATTTAAGATACTGCTTTGGAATCTTCTGTGAAGGTCCCTGGGGCCCCCAGGCTGCTGAGGATTCACACTGGTCTTGTGCACAGCAGCTGCAGCTTGATTGCTGGGGGATTGAAACCAGGGATGAAGTCTGATTTGAGGTCCCTGGGCCTTAGCAGGATGGGGAAGCCACTCTGAGCCAGAAAATAGATACAGACGAGATGAATCAGGCAGATTTCAGGGCACCCTGTGGTACAGGAGCCCAAATGAGGCCTAGGAATGGCAGTCACTGTCTGAACTTCTTAACTGATGAATTTACATTCTGCTCTGGATGGGCTTGGTGAGGCCAGAGGGTCCTTAGCACTTCAAGGGGCCTGTGGCAAGGGTGACTGACACGGGGTCACCAGTCATGCCTCCTCAAGGTCCACGCCTGACCATGGGAAGGGGAAGGGACAGGTGGGGAATCTCAGTCAGAGGATCCAGTGTAATCAAGGACACAGGCCTCACTCTGTAGAATATTCTCACAATTGGCAATATCAACTCCATATTATGCCAATAGGTGTTTATATAATGTCTAAGTTATGCCAGGCACTGCCATGAGGATGCAGTAATGGACCCATCAGCAGTGGCTCTACCTTTAGGGATGCAATGAAAGTCTTTTATTTTCTGAAGGGGAAGCAGCTCGGTGGATAGACGATTTCAGTGATACAGAATCTCTGGGGAAGCCAGGGAGGCCCTCTTGACAAGTGCCGTATGGACTGCCAGGACTTCGTGGTGGCAGAATGTATTCTATTCACAACACAAATCTCTGACCACTGACCCAGCTTGGCCATGAGTCTTGCTCTGATGGATGAAATACATGCGCATGTGACATGTGTCATATCAGAACAGAGGCCTTAAGAGCTTGTCTGTTGTTCGCCATGCATCTTTTCCATCTATCAGGAAATCAACAGTGTTTTATATTAAAGCTGTTTCATTTTTCCTGGATCCTGGTGGGGAGCTAACATGGCACACAGCCACAGCCAATCCAAGGACATGTGGTAGGAATGATACCACATGCTTCCTTCTTTGTTATTTTAAGACAGTGAAAGTTTGCAGTCATTTGTTACTACACCA